GGAGAGAAGAGGCTGGCTAGGGTTTTGAGGGGAGACTGAAGAAAACAACTTTGGATCAATAGGGTTTAAGTAATGGGACACTCACACAAACATATAATCTTCACCGTTTAATTCATCCTACGGTCTACATCCACTCTCTTTCTTTTTCAATCTATTCTCTGTAATAAATAATAATATTTTACCAAAATATTAATAATTAATAATCATATTTTTTCAAATAATAATAATAAAAATAAATAAGTAGTTTAAAAGGAAGTATCGTATTACATGGCTTACGGACCTGTTAATAAAGAAAATTATTTTTTATAACTATAATCATAAATAGTTGTGTACATGATTTATTATTTATTTTACTGTTATTAATATATTTTTTATTATTTCATTATTTAAATTTTATTTTTAAAATTTAATTAATTATTTAAACTAAAAGTTATTTAAGGCAAATTTATAAAAATTATTTATTTTAATTATTTCCTATGAACATTTTTTTAAATATAATCATGTTTTTATTTACCATTTAGATTTTTTAATTATTTTTTAAAGTTATTTGACTAATTAAAATGAAATATTATTTAAAATAAATTATAACAAAATTATTTTATAACAGTTTTTTGAATATATTATATTCTAAGTGTAATAATATTTTTTATTAATAAATATTTTTATTATAATAAAAAATTAAAGGCTGAATATCCTATTTTGTCCCAGTTTCGTTCGAAAATGTCAAATTAGTCCATCCTTTAAAAAATGCGTTAATTACGTCCTCACTTAATAAAATTTGCATCAATGAAATCCCTTCCGTTAAATCCGTACAAACGGCGTTAATTATTTTTCTCACGGATTTAATGGAAAAGATTTTGCAAATTTTATTAAGTGAGGACCTAATTGACGCATTTTTTAAAGGATGAACCTAATTTGACATTTTCGGGAGACAAAATAGGTTATTAAGCCAAAATTAAATGCATGATATGTTTTCACTAATATTTCTAAAAGATAATTACTAGTGTTTTCTTTAACGGACAAAATATAATTACTATGTTTGTAAAGTATGTAAATTGTTGTTTGTTTTGGGTGTGAATCTAATTAATTTACTTGAGTTATATATAGTTATACTTTTTATAAATTTTTTAATTTAATCATTTTACGAAATGATTTAAATATAATAAAATTGACATTTTTTATGAGAGAGTGTTTTAACTGAAATTTTAAATATTTTATTATTATCAATTTTTTAATATAATTAAATCATTTGAATTACAATATATTTTACATCTGACATAGTTTTTTTATCTTGTTTTACTTTTGGATTACTTTCATTACACCATTATTTTACTCTAATTTTGGTATATAATTAACTCACAATCACTTTAGTCTTCTTCTTTTCTTCCTTTTAATCACCTAATGTGTTTTTCTTCTTCTCCACTTCTCACTTCACTTCAATAAAATATACAAGCAACATGTTTGAGTTAAAATTTGAGTTTTCTACTTTATTTATACTTCAATCTTCCTTTATACTTGTTTTAAGTTGATCTTTTGGGACTTTTATACAGCCAAATTTTAGCAACAATTTTCATTTTCACATATAATTTGAATAAAAGTTTTAAAATAAACTAGGTAGAATTGACTTCAAATCCCTAAATTTTAAATATGTGAGCTATTTTACACTTTATGATATGCAATAATATGATATATTTTTGTAATTTAAATGTCAAAAATAGATTAAGTACAAATGAAAACATATGATTTGATTCATCAATAACTTAATGGGTGTATCTAACAAAAAGTTATGTTTTGCTTAAATTTTAAGCCTTTTTATGAAAATTTTTGTCTTCTGACAAAAGTTATAAATTTCTACCAATTATATATTATAATTTAATTATAATATCTATATATTTAATGTTGAATTATGTGTTTACTTAAATAGATGATGTTTGACCTTTTGACAAATTATTTAAAGTGGAGATTGAATGTCGTGGCACTATTTGTTGATTTTCTAATTGATCAAACGCTTTTAAAGCGTTGAATTTACTGTTTGCTATTTGTATATTGTTTGCTATGTTGTTCTGACATAGTTTGATGTAAACAAATCTGTGTGTTATTTTTTCATGATAGCATTAGACCACTATAATAAAACCTTTGATAAGGTTTAGGTGTGCTTGTGGTTAAAAAGTTTGAAATAAGATATTTGAAAATGCATTTATTATAATGTGATATTTTTAATTGTTTTAAAAATGATGAGATTTTTTAACAATTGAATAAAATTATTATAGTTTGTCAAATAGTCATAAAAATTTCTTTTAAAAAAATTAAATAAAACTGATGAATAATAATATTAAATAACTGTAAAATTATGTATACTTAACTGAAAAATAGGTATTTAATAATGAATATAAATGCATCTGATTCAAAATTGAAACAACTTTTTTATGATAATATGTATCAAATTGCAGGTACGACTTTACATAAAAATTGCCATATAGACCATATTTATATTGTCAATTTGACGGAGTATTTTAGTCAAAACGTGGTATACCTATGTACTAGAATAACTACTATTATAAGTGTTATATATCTTATTTATTTTATAATTTATTTGTTGTTATTTATATCGATTAAACATGTGTATACCAAGTTTAATCAACAATGTTGTATGAAAACATAAACCAACAAATTCAAAAAGTACAATCAAAGTGAATAAAAAAGTATAAATGAACATTGAAATTTTTTTTAAAGCATGAAAATCATAATAAAAAGTAAAATTAAAAAACAAATTCTATAAACTATTACGATATTATATAGTCTAATAAATTGCATAAACCCTGAATTTACAATCAAATGGTTGAACATTTATGAAATAATACAATTTCCGTAATTCATCTGTGTTTAGTTATTAAATATTCATTTCATGAAACATATGATCAATTGGCAAAAGGCAACCTATCATTTGACCATCTTATTATTAATTTTATTGGATTTTTCTCACAATAATTTTCAGGATGTAGGTTGACATTTCTTTAACCAAGTAAAATTCATAAACCCAAAAATTACTCATATAATATATTGTTTTATTTTCAAGCATTTGCACATATAACTCAATTTCTTTTAAGTCAAAATTCATTCAGGGAGCCAAAGTCTAAACCGTGTTATTTTTATAAAAATATTTTTTCCCAAAATTTTCTTGGTTTTTTAATAAAAAAGAAAAAAGAAATCAACTCAAAATTTGTTTCCCCCAATACTGATTTTTCAACCAGCTTCATTTCAATTATAATTTAAAATTTGGCGCTTAATAACCAAATTTTAATCTGAAAATAACTGTGCTGTCTTTATAAATATTTATCAGAATATATTATATATGTAATTTTTTAATTTACGTGTTATTTAAGTTCAAAACTGTATATTGATATTCAACATTTGTATCCTTAACTTCACTCATAAATACTCATATTAGGTGTTTGGTTTAACTACTTGTTTATTTTCTATCTATTGTGCAATGACATGTAAAAAATGATTTGTTTTGATGTTTTAGTATTTTTTTGAATTACTTTCAAACAATCTTTCGCAACATAGATCGAATATAAATGTAGTTTACCACATAAAACACCTTTGCCTGTTGAACACGACAATTCCGTCCAGTCAAAGCCTCTGAAGAAGCAATCGCACAACTCAAGAAGCCCGTCATACCGAATATCAAATTTTCAGATCAAAAGCTTCTCAATAGCATCCTGCACACCCACAAAATACTCAGTATCTATTCACTATAACTGAACCATTTGCAAAAAGTCTTGTTTATTACAAGACCAGGTGAATTTTGGTTAGTTTATTACTTATTGATATTATATGTATTTTATAATGACCAATTTTAAAACCACACAATTACAATCAAACTAATGAATTGTTACTGAACACATTAATGGAATGACTGATCCAAATTTTAACATCAGTAATGAATAATACAGTTAGCAAGTATATGAACAATATTGAAGTTAAGTCACATGAATACCTTTAGTTGCTGAATTTGGGATTTCAGTTGACTTCCTTCATTAGTTGTTACGGAACATGCAATCACTGGCCGTGTGACACCATGCTCGCCAAGTGCTTGTTTTGATGGGACAAATACATAGGGAACATTCTACAAAACTCAAATGGTAAAGGTTAGATTTTCTCCTATGTAGATAAAATTCAAGAAACATAATGAAATTAAAATTACATCTACTAGGATATAATCTAAGGCCAAAGAAAAGAAATTCAACAACATCTACAGCTATATCAGTCTAACAGAAGAAAAGTCTTCCAATCTGATAAGAGCACAATATGATAAAGTGTGCTCATTGAGCAATAAGGACCAACAGTAAAGTACAAAACCAGTAAAATAGTAGAAATCTAAGATAATAAATTACAAATAACAAATATTAGATTGTCAAATATAAAAGTTTTTATACTTTAAGAAACTGGAAATTACTCTATTACAACACAACTGATTATATTTTTGGGAGTTTTTCCAGATCCATTTCAAACCTCACATACAGGAACCATTAATATTTTGAAATTTGAATCTTTGGAACCTACACTAATAGACTCAAGGACTTCAAAATTAATCCTCAATTAGTAAAAAATCATTACAGAATTATGATGTTATAAGAAAGATTGCAGTTAATGATTTATGTCAACCAAAATAATTTAAAGGATACAGAAAAATGATAAATAAGCATTCTCCCTTTTGAATTTTAAGCCCGTTATGTTTTATCACGCTTATAATTTTACACCAATTATATTAGGAACCAAAATATTAGGAATTCGGCAAGGCAGTCAGACCCCGTAAGCAATTTACTCCATAATATATTTGAGGTTCAGTCTGATAATAAATGTATTTGTATACTTAACCTCAATTTTAAGCTCTTTTTGTTTATCATTCTAGTTTTTTGTTTATGCTGATTCCGCTGTTGTTTGCAATAAATGGTAATCAATTAGATGTGCATAAGAACACATTTGTAGGAGAAGGACTACCTGTCCTCGGCAAGCAGAGGAAGATGGAGAAGAATTTCAAGAGGCTCGGTGTCTGCAGCCATGACAACGAACTCAGAAATGCCTCTATTCAGAGTCTTGGTGGCTGAAACAATGAAAGTTAAAACCATCAGACCACACCGATTTTTTTTTTTCCGTACTTTTTTTAATTTCAGAAAGAATGAAAAGACAAAAAGAAAGAAGAGAAAAACCTTCATTAGCACCCTTTTTGAGTTGCTTGTAGTTGGCAGCTTGTTGAACAAGATCAAGTATTGTTATTGTGAGTTGAGCATCTGCAAGAGGGTAAGCTTTTGGGTTCACGACCTCTCCTGTCTGCAAAACAGACAAATTAAACAGAGAAAACACAAACAAACAAGAAAACCCTAAACATGAACGCTCAGAAAACAAAGTGAGAGATTGAGCGAGTGAGCAGACCAACCATTTTTGGATGTTCTTGATTGCAGGGAGAGAGAGGCTGGCTAGGGTTTTGAGGGAGGACTGAAGAAAACAACTTTGGATCAATAGGTTTTAAGTAATGGGACACTCACACAAACATATAATCTTCACCGTTTAATTCATCCTACGGTCTACATCCACTCTCTTTCTTTTTCAATCTATTCTCTGTAATAAATAATAATATTTTACCAAAATATTAATAATTAATAATCATATTTTTTCAAATAATAATAATAAAAATAAATAAGTAGTTTAAAAGGAAGTATCGTATTACATGGCTTACGGACCTGTTAATAAAGAAAATTATTTTTTATAACTATAATCATAAATAGTTGTGTACATGATTTATTATTTATTTTACTGTTATTAATATATTTTTTATTATTTCATTATTTAAATTTTATTTTTAAAATTTAATTAATTATTTAAACTAAAAGTTATTTAAGGCAAATTTATAAAAATTATTTATTTTAATTATTTCCTATGAACATTTTTTTAAATATAATCATGTTTTTATTTACCATTTAGATTTTTTAATTATTTTTTAAAGTTATTTGACTAATTAAAATGAAATATTATTTAAAATAAATTATAACAAAATTATTTTATAACAGTTTTTTGAATATATTATATTCTAAGTGTAATAATATTTTTTATTAATAAATATTTTTATTATAATAAAAAATTAAAGGCTGAATATCCTATTTTGTCCCATTTCGTTCGAAAATGTCAAATTAGTCCATCCTTTAAAAAATGCGTTAATTACGTCCTCACTTAATAAAATTTGCATCAATGAAATCCCTTCCGTTAAATCCGTACAAACGGCGTTAATTATTTTCTCACGGATTTAATGGAAAAGATTTTGCAAATTTTATTAAGTGAGGACCTAATTGACGCATTTTTTAAAGGATGAACCTAATTTGACATTTTCGGGAGACAAAATAGGTTATTAAGCCAAAATTAAATGCATGATATGTTTTCACTAATATTTCTAAAAGATAATTACTAGTGTTTTCTTAACGGACAAAATATAATACTGCTTCGAAACACTATTTACCCAAATTCTATGACCAACACCAAGTTCAGACTAACAAATACTAATTAAAATTAATAATAATTGCTCTGATACACGGCCATTACCTCCTTGGACTCGTTTTCGATGTTGTTGTTGGGAGAATCCGCTTCCTGCGACGAGTGCCTATCGTGATCTTCTTCACGGTCAACAAATTGAGTCAATGCTAATTCCGAAAACGATAATTATAGTTTTAATTATTAATTGTTTAAATCTCCCTAAAAGAACGAAGGGAAAAGAGAAAGAAAGAAAAAATAGGCAAATCCGCTTAAAGCTAAATATAAAGCTAAATAAAAAAAATAAAAAATAAAAACGAAATATAGGTCGCGAGAGAGTTTTTCTTTTTTTCTTTTTCGGGGTTGTTTCGATGTGGCACGCTGAGAACCTCACTCACCTCGATCGGATTTGAAATCCATAAGCACGCGCTCCGCTTTCGCCGCCGCAGAATGAAAGGCGAACCTCGCTTTGGACACGAAAGTGTGCTCCTCCATCTCCTGCGCGCGTCAAGGCGCACGTTTATCCACACACGTTCTACCAAATTGAACCGTTGCGAGTTAGTCCTGAGTCATTGCTTTCAGTATTTGTAGTCAGCGATGCGTAGTACCAACTTGATGTTCATATGATTCTTCCCATGGACTAAGAAAGTACTCACAATAGTGGAAGATCACAAATTCAGTGGTCTTCTCTGTACTAAAATATTTCCAGACCAAAACTGGAAGAGACAACATGAATAATAAGATGACATGTTAATTTGACATCTTTTTATATTTTAATTTGTTTGCTATTAATTTTGAATATTTTTCACAAACTTCTATTGAAATTTTAAAATGTTAAGGGGAATGGAGGAGTTTGATCAAATTTATAACACTAGTAGAAATTTAAGATTATTTTAACTTTATAGATTATATTATGATTGTATTTTATCCCTAATCTTTCATATAGTATATCTCAAAAACATTCTTTTAATATTTCTTTTTTTAAAACATTTTCAAAAAATGTAAGTTTGTAACGTAGTTATTTTAGTGCATTCCGTAACAATGATTGTCCAGAGCAAAAATGTGAGTAGTTGAAAAGAGGAATTTTGGCAAGAGTTCATCTTCCATTAATTTTCTCCACTTGATACATGCTCCCTTTAATTGAGAATTAATTTATAATTATTTGTTTTTATGTTGAAACCAAATGATGAAATTGAAAAGGGGGGAGATTAAATGAATTTAATAAAATAAAATTATGCTAACAAACTTCTTTAATTAACAAGAAAATTAATCTTTTATATTTAAATCTAGAATTTATAAAAAAGAACGAGAAGAATAAATCTAAATCATACAATCATGAATTATTAAAGTTAAATGTAAGGTAAAGATTTATATCCATTTACACGAAGGTTTAATGTCAATTCGCTTTCACGTTAAAAAAAAATAACCCCTAACTATATATGACTTAAATATATTATTAATTCTCTAAAGTTAAAACAAATTGGTTTCTGAATCTCGAAACTGAAAAAACAATAAATTTTTAGCCCCTATAATTTAAAAAAAAAACACTATTCAATTCATCTATCTCTAAACATGCTAAAAAACATTTCATATAATTAAGTGTTTGAAAATCTAAAAAACGATATTGGAATTTATTTTCAAGTGAATAACATCTATTGTTTAACTTGTTGACAAATATTTGTATAAGAAAAATTGAATCGACTACAGTTTATACATAAAAAATAGTTAAAACTTCTATTAATGTAAATTAAATTTAACCCGTTTAAAAAATATTTTCCAAAAGATGACTTGTGCTTTGATAAGTGTGACGTTGAACCGAGACAAACACAAAATGATCTACACCAAAAAAGAGTAGAAGACATAGCCGAACTTAGGTAATCGTGATGCACACTAAACATTTGAACACCATTATGATTTGTTACAACCTTTGCACGTTTGACATCATAATTTGGTACAACCAATAAGGAGGTACTGATTTTGTTGGTTGTTACCAGACAAACTATATTCTACACTTTTCTTGTTTGTTTATGGTTTACTACTCTACGATACATCACATTCTGAATTTGAATTTTCAAGCAATCAGCAAAACTAGAAAGGAGAAACTAAATTGAATACACTGAATCGCGTCTACTAGTCATTTTAAAATACGAGATTTATTCATTCGTAAATTCAATAATTAGACTATTCATCCTAAATAATTTTTAGAAAAAAGACATTTATTTTGTTATGATTTAAAAAAAAAAACATTTGTTGGAGAAATAACAAAATTTTAAGTCACTAGAAGGAACTTTTAACAATTAAAGACCTTTTTTTTTGGGATAGCAAGCTTTTCACAAACTACTACTAGAATACAAAAACAAAAAGTAACTTGCATAAAAAGAAGAAACTCATCAAGTCAAAATTTCATAAGAGCACCCCCACATACATAGCATCAAACATTTTACAGTAGCAGTGTAAAACATCAGTACATAATTACTTTCAAACAATCTTTCGCAACATAGATCTATATAAATGTAGGTTTACACATAAAACACCTTTGCCTGTTGAACACGACAATTCGTCCAGTCAAAGCCTCTGAAGAAGCAATCAGCACAACTCAAGAAGCCCGTCATACCGAATATCAAATTTTCAGATCAAAAGCTTCTCAATAGCATCCTGCACACCCACAAAATACTCAGTATCTATTCACTATAACTGAACCATTTGCAAAAAGTCTTGTTTATTACAAGACCAGGTGAATTTTGGTTAGTTTATTACTTATTGATATTATATGTATTTTATAATGACCAATTTTAAAACCACACAATTACAATCAAACTAATGAATTGTTACTGAACACATTAATGGAATGACTGATCCAAATTTTAACATCAGTAATGAATAATACAGTTAGCAAGTATATGAACAATATTGAAGTTAAGTCACATGAATACCTTTAGTTGCTGAATTTGGGATTTCAGTTGACTTCCTTCATTAGTTGTTACGGAACATGCAATCACTGGCCGTGTGACACCACATGCTCGCCCAAGTGCTTGTTTTGATGGGACAAATACATAGGGAACATTCTACAAAACTCAAATGGTAAAGGTTATTTTTCTCCTATGTAGATAAAATTCAAGAAACATAATGAAATTAAAATTACATCTACTAGGATAATCTAAGGCCAAAGAAAAGAAATTCAACAACATCTACAGCTATATCAGTCTAACAGAAGAAAAGTCTTCCAATCTGATAAGAGCACAATATGATAAAGTGTGCTCATTGTGCAATAAGGACCAACAGTAAAGTACAAAACCAGTAAAATAGTAGAAATCTAAGATAATAAATTACAAATAAAAATATTAGATTGTCAAATATAAAAGTTTTATACTTAAGAAACTGGAAATTACTCTATTACAACACAACTGATTATATTTATTGGGAGTTTTTCCAGATCCATTTCAAACCTCACATACAGGAACCATTAATATTTTGAAATTTGAATCTTTGGAACCTACACTAATAGACTCAAGGACTTCAAAATTAATCCTCAATTAGTAAAAAATCATTACAGAATTATGATGTTATAAGAAAGATTGCAGTTAATGATTTATGTCAACCAAAATAATTTAAAGGATACAGAAAAATGATAAATAAGCATTCTCCCTTTTGAATTTTAAGCCCGTTATGTTTTATCACGCTTATAATTTTACACCAATTATCTTAGGACCAAAATATTAGGAATTCGGCAAGGCAGTCAGACACCCGTAAGCATATTTACTCCATAATATATTTGAGGTTCAGTCTG